ATACTATCCTTATGCACGTTAAAATACGGAAAAAAAATAATAAAATTTGTAGCTCAGGATCCTACATTCATTGTTTCTTAGGTTTGGTGGTTTCTTCCCAACTAGCTCTCCCCTGCACCCACCACCCAATTTATGCTTAAATGTCACTCACTCAAGAGGCTGATCCCCAGGCTCAGCTAGGTCCCCTTGTTATGCTGCCTCTGCACCCTGGGCTTTTCCTTCATTGTACTCGTCAGTTTGTTTGTAATTGAGGATGTGTTGATTTGTTGGTTCCCTCCCACACTTGGGGAGCTGATCTTTATTAAGTGCTTGCATAGGGCCCTTGCAAGGACCGCGCTAAGGGCTGTAGGAGCTAATCTCATAACCATGTGTGTGCTAAGTACTGTTGTTATCCCCGCTTCAGGGTAAGCCAAGGCAAAGAGAAGCCAAGTGACTTGCTCCAAACCACTTGCTGAGTAGCAGAGCTGGGGCTCTAACTCAAGGGTCTGACTTCAGAGCCCCTGCTCTTCATCGACCACTACCCCATACATATTTGATACTAGAGGCTACCGGTACGTCCTTGGCTCTCAGTAGGTGAAAAAACACTGACCGAAAGAAGACTTTTCTTAGACCACATCCTCATTTGAAGTTGATCCATCTTTGAGATTTGAACTTAGAGCGCCCTTCTCCAGCCATAATTTCTAGCTCAGGGCGGGTTAGTGTCAGGGACACCTGTTGCTCGGGCCCACGCACTTCACCCCGCCCACTGTGGGTATCAGGCCATTCTCCGTCTTTTCCCAGCAGGAGAGAAGGGCCATTCAACCCTTTCCTCGGTGGTGCTCTAGATCCCTCCCTCTCCTTCCTGGAGCCTCTAGTCTGGCAATCCCATTCTCACTCTCCTTATTCTGAAAAAAATGGCTTTGCATGTGGTAGCTATGTGACAGAGAGGCTACTCTTCCTCTTCAAGCCTTCGTTTCTTCACTTAGAAATACGGGTAACGTGGGATTTTAGCAATGAGGCCGCCCAAGGGAAGCACTCAGCAGGGTGCCGGGCACACAGTGAGGACTCAATCTCAGTGGCTCCTAGGTTACAGAGGTTTCTGGAGAATCTAAAACATCCCCTAAACTGAAGCATTAATCTTTAATGGGAGACTCAATGCAAGCCGGCCACCCTTTTGCCATCTCTTTGGCACACTAAGTTATCGGATGTCTATTTCTAGCTTTCTTTCTAGCTGCTTAATTGCTCCTCAGCCTGTTAGTTTTTAATGGGCGTTCCTTTATCGCCTCTTAACACAGCTTAAGCATCCCGGGAAACATTTCCTACTCTAAGATCTCTCTACCACCACGCTTGCAAACAACCACTAGCAGGCAGAGATTTCCTGAAAAAAGCACGGGAGGCAGAATCTTTATCCCACCGGTCACCGGGCGAGTCACTAACCATGCTGTCATGCTTTCTCATCTTCAATGGGGACAGCAATTCCTCCTCACAGGGTGCTGCAAAATGAAATGTGGTGGGGTATTTTTACAAGCAGTTCAATAATTATACATTTGTTCTTTTGTTCATTCATTCCTCCCTTCATTCTTGATTAGCAGCTCTAGTTAGAAAACGGCCAAGAGTCTGACTCCAGAATCTAGAGGCAGAGAAGGAGCAAATATAGAGAGCAAGTATCTCACCTCATAAATGAAGCTATCTATCACCCTATTAAACTGGAATTTATGATCTAAGTCATCCTTTCATATTCTCGGGTATAAAAACCAGTATCTTAATGTGACACAGCCAGCAGTCTTAGACACTTTAACTTGCCATGAAATGATACAATGAGTGTTGGGTGACTAGTAATAATTCAGGAGAAAAATTAATTTAAGCAGAACTGTGGCGGGAAGAGGATCCCCTTACCAATTAATTTAAGTGGAAACTTACTCTTGGAGCCAAAAGGTGGAGAGAATTTAATTCGATTCCCACGAGGCTAAGTGATTTACTCACAGTCACCAGCTTTTAACCTAAAATTTAGTAGGTATATTGCTCTAAGGAAATAGACCATACCAACTCATCAAAGTTTGAAGACAAGGAAATAAAATATGAAGTATAATATTAGCAGCAAGGCAAGATTATCCTTATTTATAGATGATACAGTTGTATACCGGCACAACCAATCAACTGAAAACTCAGAAAGTTTAGATGTTGGCTGTATCAAAAATAATCTGTAACAATAGGTTTTTGTTTTTGCTTTTTACAAACAGCCATTTAGAAACTATAACATCAAATACCAAGGAATAAACTTAGTAAGAAATGCCCTACCCCCTTTAGTATAACACTCTCATGAGGGATGTAAGACTTGAATAGAGACATAGTCCCATTTCTTGCAGAAGAACATTAACTTCGTAAAACATAAGGTACTCCTAAACATTGTATAGGGCAAATGCAATGCCAATACAACTCCCAAAAGTCTTCAAAACTTGGGGAGAAACTAGGCGAATGTTCTTATAGTTCACCTCAAAGAACAATTGTTGAGGAGAAACATGAGCAATAAGCATTGACCTAAAGTATTAAGGAGGACCTCGAAAGTTAAAATATGCCAGTATAAAGCTCGAATGATTAAAATAGTAGGATGTAGGGCCACCTGGCTGGCTCAGTCGGTAGAGCATGCAACTATTGATTTAGGATTCTAAGTTCGAGCCCCATGTTGGGTGTAGAGATTACTTAAAGATAAAAATCTTTAAAAAAAAGAAAGGAAGAAAGAAAGAAAGATAAATAAATAATAGGATACAAATACAAGAAAAGACAGAATGGAAGTCCCAGAAGTACTGAGAATTTGGCATATGATACATGTGATATTTGAAATCAGCACAGAAGTTAGATGATTTAGTAGTATTGGGATGGCTAATTTATCACAGAAAATATGAGTTGAATTGTGTCCTCCAAGAAGATATAAAGTCCTAACCCCTGGTGCCTATGAATGTGATCTTATTTGGAAATAGCTTCTTTGCAGATCCAATCAAATTAAGATGAAGTCATACTGAACTAGAGTGGGCTCCAATCCAATGACTAGTGTCTTTATAGAGACAAAGATCTGGACACAGAGACACACAGGACAGAATGCCAAGTGACAAGAGGCAGCGGCTGGAATGACACAGCTAAAATTCAAGGAAAGCTGAGGGTTGCCAGTTACCACCAGAGGCTAGGAACAGGCAAGGAAGGATCCCTCTAGAGCTTTCCAATATAATCTAGCCCTGCCTCTGAATGGTGAGGGTGTACACTTCCATCGTCTTAAGCCACTCAAGTTCGTGGTAATTTATTATGGCAGCTCTAGAAACCAAAATAATAATAAAGCTGGATCCCTACCTTACTGCTTATACAAAAAGAAAAAATCTAGAGGGATAAAAGAATTAAATGTAGAAATGAAATAAACAATGACCCCCAAATAACACAAGAAAATGTGGATAGAAGTTTGCATCTTCTAGGGAGTTTCTTTAAAATGGAAGGAAAAGATGAATAAATTTGACTTTATAAACATTAAAAAACAAACAAAAAATAACATTTTAAACATCTGCAGGGTAAGAGGTAAGAAATTATAAAATAAATGTGTAATTCATGGCAGACAAAGGATACAGTCAAAAAAAAAAAATAAATAAACAGTCCCCAAAGAAATGCACAAAGGACAAGATTAGGCACTTAAATATAAATACCTAATATATAAAACATGCTCAACTTCACTAATTTTTAAAGAAATGCAAACAGAAGTATTAAAATAGCTTACCCATACAACTGGTGGAAATTGAAACGACTGCTATCCTAATTAGCTAGGGCACAAAAACCAGGTACTCTATTCACATGTGGCTGGAGTATCTATTATTAGCACAATCCTTTTGGAGAGGAGTAACTTGTCTATTTCAACTATTTTCATATTTTTGCTTTTTCCTTTTCTAACTTGTATGCTTTTGTCTTATTTTTTATAATTTTCATACAGTAGATTAAATTCTGAAAAGATTTTTTTTTTAGGGAATATATATACTCATATATTAGTTAAAAAAGCCATGAAGACATTGTTCCCCAAATAAGTGAGCATACTAGTTTCACCAAATCTCACTAGTATTTACTACTACATTTTTTCCCCCACTAATAGAATAAAATAGCATCTCATTTTAATCTGTACTTTTAAGTGAAGGGAAATGTTTCTCCCTGGTTAACTTACTCATAGAGGTTGTATTTTTTAAAAAATTCTTTGGTCAATTAATTCATTTGAATCTTAAAATTACTATCCTCTTAGTAATTCCCAAGAATTCCTTGTGTAATATAGAAATTAACTCTTGGCTTGCCTCTCTTTGGGGACTCTCTCTTCACACCACATGCTTCTCAGGGCCCCCACCTACTCTACTGGCTTGGACCACTGTCTTTATGCTAGAGGACCCCTCAATCCTCAAGCTCTACAGAAACTCTGCTCTTTTTCCCCCTCCCCAAACAGCTTGGAACAGTGTTCTGTACACTGAGTGCTAAATATTAAAATACAGACATAAAAGGACCATTTTTAAAGATTACATTGTTTTTAGGACTGTTTTAAAGATTAGATATGAATAATTAGAAAATAATTCTATAGTCTCAATGCATGGAAACAGGCAAATGCATAAAAAATACTAGGTTAACGGCCTGAGTGCTTGAATAAATGAGTACAAAAATGAATTTTAAATATACTTTATTTACAAGTCTCTAAATGAAATGTTCCATGAAAAATATCTACATGTTTCTATTTACATATTCCTTATTAAGTCTATTGATTTGAATTAGATTTTAAATTCAATTTTGGAAAGCTTTCAGGATTTCTTCTGAAAGTGATCATTTAAAAATACTATATATAAAAAAAATACTATATACATAGGGGCACCTGGATGGCTCAGTCAGTTAAGCATCCAGCTCTTGATTTTGGCTCAGGTTATGGCTTCAGGATCATGAAATCAAGCCCCGCATCAAATTCTGTGCTGGGTGTGGAGCCTGCTTAAGATTCTCTCTCGCTCTCCCTCTGCCCCTCATTCCCCCACTCATGCTCTCATGCTCTATTAAAAAAAATATATATATATGTACATATATATATATATATCTATCTTGTAGAGTTCCAAAAACAAATACCAAGCTGAGACACAGAAAAGAAAAAAAGTCTATTCTAGGTCTTGGAAGTGATTAGAAAGGACCCTGGGGTATCTCACCTACTATCATAAGAAGCAGGGTTCTTAAAAGAGTTTTCACTGTTAACTAACAGCCCACCTAGATGGAAAATTTCAAAAGCCTTTGCAGTTTTCAGACCAAATGTCACAGTGCCAAAGAGCCTCTTGGCAATTTATGTAAACCTAGATACTCTTACTTGGTTAATATCGACAAAGACACGATTTCTGAAAGAATGATCCTTTCGTGAAATCAAAGCGGAAAACCTGTTGGGGAAAAGCCGATCCTTCAAAGTTGGCACGTCTTCGTTGCCCTTAGGAAAACTCTTTGGAATCTGCCGTCAGTCTAGATAACCAATCAAGGATTCCTTAGCACTTTCGTCCACAAGCAGATCCACTAACACATGCGGCTTGTCGTAACCAAAGGAGGTGGTAGTGTTTCTCAGCACCACGCACTCCTGTCCTTCGGTCTTTATTTCGGTTTTATTATTTGGGGGAAATTCTGAGTCAGATAAGAAGCTGTCGGATTCCACAACGCCACTATCAGAACCATTTCTGGAGTGATAGGAGTTTAAGGTGACGACACAGGGTTCAGACTGGTTACTATTTGGATGGACAGAATTCTCTCTCATTCCTGGGGTCAGAGGACTACCAGGAGCCACGTCAGATGTATTTTCTTCAGTGGTCACCACTTCTATTTCACCGGAAACGTCTTCTCGGTGTTCCGTTTTTCCTAGGTTGTCTTCAGTGGGCGTACCAAGTGTTGCTGGAGACAACTGCTCTTCCCAGCCCATCTTCTCATTTTCTGGGGCAATCGGTTGGTAGGTGATGGGTGATATATATTTTGATTCAGATTTTGTCTCTGAAGAGGCATTTTTTACCACAGACAGCTAAGGGAAGAGAAACCAATGATTGAAAATAATAAATTATTAAACTTAAGTGCACATCCTTAAGAAGACATGGTCCAAGGGTAATGGACAATGAAATATACCACTAAATGGCAGATTTATGGTAACAATATAATAGCACCTGGTGGCTGCCTCTTCTTGCTTTTTAATGAAAATATACTATATTAAGTGCAAGTGTTTTTAGGATTTTTAAAAAGCCATCCCCCATCTAATTAGTATGTGCTGCTTTTTCTCCATTACCTCCACATGTACGCACGTTACATTTATAATGGGAGTATACCTACTTATATAATATTTTCACCATTCGCCTTCATAATTATCATTTTTATTAGAATTTTCACTGCCTCATATAATTTCTTTATACTGATGATTAAAGTAATTTCTCTAACAGTGCATTTTGAAGTCTTTCAAATTTTTACTATATATAGAACATGTTGAAGTGAGTATCTTTTTATTTATGAAGATTTTTTTTTAAAGAATAAATTCTTAAAAGTAAAATTACTAAGTCACAGGCTGTGGCTTTATTTACGGCACTACTACACTCTATACCCATTAAATGCTTCCCTTCCCACCAGGGCTGTATTACTTTTACCAGTATACACCAGTTTTACTACTACCGGTACTACTGGATGCTCAGGTTTATTTTTCCTTCTCTAGTAGGTATAAAGTTGCATACTGCAAGGTTGCTTTGTGCTTGCTTACTTATCCTTAATTAGTAAGGACAAATACTATGAATTCATACATGAATTATCTACTACTGATAGTTTTTATTCACTTCACCAAAGGTAGTGTTTTCAAAACAAATTGAAATGTGTCCTTTGCACGTTATAGATATTATTCCTAACCTATTTCATTCAAACAATTACCATCCTGTTAGCTGTATATGTTCTTTTCATCATACAAAGGCTTTTGAATGTTGACATTAAAAGGTCAAACTGCTGGGGCGCCTGCGTGACTCAGTCAGTTAAGCATCCGACTCTTGATTTTGGCTCAGGTCATGATCGTGGGGTCCTGGGATCGAGCCCAGCATCAGGTTCCGTGCTCAGCGGGGAATCTGCTTGGGGATTTCTCTCCCTCTCCCTCTGCTCCTCCCCCTGCTTATGCTGTCTCTCTCTCTCTCCCTCTCTCAAATAAATAAATAAATCTTTTTTTAAAAATGCCAAATTTCTGGTCTCACTTGTGGCCATCTTTCCTTCTACGCTCCAACCATAATGGTGTTTCTGTATTTTAGGATTTTCAAAAGCCATGCTTTCTTGATGCTGGGCTTTAGCACATACTGTCCCTTAGTACCTGGATAAACTCCTGTCTGCCCTCTAGACGCTCAAACATCACTGCCTCTGGAAAGGCCACACGAAGCCCCGTCCCCCAAAGGTGGACAAAGTCCTCATTGGCATGGATGTAAACCTCTATGTTTCAACACTGTACACCCACTCAATACTTTTCTTCTCCCTAAACTTTAAGCTCCTTAACAGACTTATCCAATTATGCTCTTGTTCCGTGCATAAAAAAGTACACAATGTGTAGTAAAAATTATGTGGTTTTGGATGTGTGGTAGATTGAGTGATTTATGATAGGTGACATGCTGCTGAACATCATTCTACTTAAAAAAAAATTTAAGAAAATTATCAGAAAGGTCCAAATAAATACTTTAGTGTATATAATTAAAGAAAAATATTTAAATATGTTACCAAGGACTTGGGTAACATGATGCTCTCCCTCTTACACGGATTCATCTTCTTAGTGTAACAACAGACAAATACCAGGATAAGTACTAGAAAAAGTAGGAGAACAGCAACAATTGGAATCCAAATAGAATCTAAAAAAAAGGGAAAAATCGCAAGTTAGAATTAAGATGGAAATACTGCTATATCCATGAAATAGTATGAAGTCTTTAATAGATTTGCTCACTGGGTAATTAGTATGATCAGGGTTGCGAAGAACACTTGCCGCAGAAGTCGGGCAAGATGAAAAGAGCTTAGGTACACCTGTCCTAGACACTAAACGGGCTCTTCCCAGCTCTGCCATTCTCTACCTTCTGCACCTATCCCTCCGTGATACAAAGTGGCTAAAACAGACTTTCATAACAATTTCCTTAAAACCCCCAACATAGGGTGCTTCCAGGGTTGCACTTTTCTCTCCGTTAAAAAGGCAAAAGAAAATTTTAAAAAATCCACCCCTTCAGAAATAAATTCTGACAATGACTATAACTCTTAAAATAGTTTAATCCCACTCCTCAGAATTTTGTTCCATTTTATATTTATTTGAAGATTGCAAATACTTGTGAAGATATACAGACAGACACACAGCACGCACGGACAGGAAAGCTGCACAGGAATTAGGTGCCCTTAAATGCAAACCAGACATTATAACTTAAAATAAGAAAGATCTGTTTCAGAGCACATACATCTATAATCACTATTGTGTATTTCGCTCTAATGCTGCTTTTTATTTTCAAAGCACAATCTTCAGTATTCTATTTTCACAGTCCTCTCTTCTAAATTAACACTACTCTACGTATCATGGTGTTGTTTGGCCTCTTTACTGGCATTTTATTACCTTTAATTTCTATTCCAAAGTTACTTTTTTGGAATAGTCACTCTGGAAATGACGACTAAATGAACACGTGTATAACACCTATTACAGGATATGGAAAAAACGAAGTTATTACAACAGCAAAGATAAAATCACTCCCTAACTGAGGCCAGCACTGTTTATTTTTATTTTTTTAAATCTTATTATGTTATGTTAGTCACCATACATCACTGGTTTTTGATGCAGTGATCCACGATCCATTGTTTCCGTATAACACCCAGTGCTCCATGCAGTACGTGCCCTCCTTAATACCCATCACCGGGCTAACCCATCCCCCCACCCCCGTCCCCTCTAAAACCCTCAGTTTGTTTCTCAGAGTCCATAGTCTCTCATGGTTCATCTCTCCCTCCAATCCCCCCCCCATTTTTCCCTTCCTTCTCCTAATGTCCTCCATTCTATTCCTTATGTTCCACAAATAAGTGAAACCATATGATAATTGACTTTCTCTGCTTGACTTATTTCACTTAGCATAATCTCCTCCAGTCCCAAGATATGGACCCTCAAATCTATGGTCAAATAATCTTTGACAAAGCAGGAAAAAAGACAGTCTCTTCAATAAATGGTGCTGGGAAAATTGGACAGCCACATGCAGAAGAATGAAACTCGACCATTCTCTAACACCATTCACAAAGATAAACTCGAAGTGGATGAAAGACCTCAATGTGAGACAGGAATCCATCAAAATCCTAGAGGAGAACAGAGGCAGTAACCTCTTTGACATCGGCCACAGCAACTTCTTTCAAGACACATGTCCAAAAGCTAGTGAAACAAAAGCAAAACTGAACTTTTGGGACTTCATCAAGATAAAAAGCTTCTGCACAGCCAAGGAAACAGTCAACAGAACAAAGAGGCAACCCACAGAATGGGAGAAGATATTTGCAAATGACACTACAGATAAAGGGCTGGTATCCAAGATCTATAAAGAACTTCTCAAACTCAACCCCCAAAAAACAAATCATCAAGTCAAAAAGTGGGCAGAAGACATGAAAAGACACTTCTCTGAAGAAGACATACAAATGGCTAACAGACACATGAAAAAATGTTCATCATCATTAGCCATCAGGGAAATCCAAATCAAAACCACACTGAGATACCACCTTACACCAGTTAGAATGGCCAAAATGGACAGGGAGAGAAACAACAAATGTTGGAGAGGTTGTGGAGAAAGGGGAACCCTCTTGCACTGTTGGTGGGAATGCAAGTTGGTACAGCCACTTTGGAAAACAGTGTGGAGGTGCCTCAAAAAACTAAAAATAGAGCTACCCTATGACCCAGCAATTGCACTCCTGGGTATTTACCCCAAAGACACAGATGTAGTGGAAAGAAGGGCCATATGCACCCCAACGTTCAGAGCAGCAATGTCCGCAACAGCACGGTGTTTGGAACAGGGCACAGGTGGGCAGGGAATACTGCTTCTGGGCCACAGTACCTGCCCAATTTATAATTCAGACTTTAAAAAAAAAATAAATCTGAGGCATTTGCATTATTTCAAATTTTGTGTATTAATTAGGATTTTATTTTTTCAAAATAACACAATGCAAGTTGGCATAATAATGGCATAAAAATAGCAGAATAATGCACTGCATTATTTTAAGTCACATACTACTTGAAACCCTCGTTATAATAGCCTAAAAGTTATTAAGTTTCAGACATTTTGGTCTAATTCTTCAGCCTAGATTCCCGTTTTTCAAGAGGATATTTGTAGGGATGCCTGGGTGGCTCAGTCGGTTAGGCCTCTACCTATGGATCAGGTCATGATCCCAGGGCCCTGGGATGGAGTCCCGCATCGGGCTCCCTGCTCAGCGGGGGAGCCTGCTTCCCCCTCTGCCTGCCGCTCCCCCCCGCTTGTGCTCTCTCTCTGACAAACAAACAAATAAAATCTTTAAAAACAACAACAACAAAACAAAAAAGGGAGATATTTGTATCATAAAATTTTGGGGGGCGCCTGGGTGGTCCAGTCGGCTAAGTGTCCGACTCGTGGTTTTAGCTCAGGTTGTGATCTCAGGGTTGTGAGACAGAGCCTCACTTCAGGCTCCATGCTCAGTGTGGAGTCGGCTTGAGATTCTCTCTCCCCCTGCCCCTCCCACTTGTGCTCTCCTCTCTCTAAGATAAATAAATCTTTAAAATAAATAAAAAATATATTCTAAAAACAGCCTCATAATTGGAAAAGATATATATACACAGTTATCAAAGCATGTTATTATAGAGAAAGTCATAAATAATCTGGAAGTCCCAAATTGGGAAACATTAAACAGAATACAAATTCTACATGATGAAACAGTCTACAGAGATTAAAAAATAATATTAATAAAGTATATGAATTAAAATGGAAAAATATTTATAATACATACTTAAAGCAGTACATAAAATTTTATGTACTATACAATACGATTGTGGCTATATAGAAAAAGAGAATGGGATGAGAAAAAAACCCCAAACTGTAACTAAGTATTTGGATGACAGAACTACAGATAATTTTGATTTCTTCTGGCTTTTTATATTTTATAAATTATCTATAATGAACATTTAAATTTTGTAAGTGCAGAGAACAGGCCAAATTTTTGTTAAGGTACCTGCCACTTGAGAATATCAGTTCTAAAGTTCTATCATATGTATCCCCCCCTACACACACAAAGAAAAGAAAATGAAACAAAATTATTTTTAAGTGTTATAAAAATAACCCATAACCTATCAACATTTATTTTGGATACTAATTTTCAGTGTTTGTCCAGTTCATGTCACACATGCCAATGAATATTTCTGCTATTCAATTTTTAAACTTACCATCCCCATAGAGAACATTCTAATGGATACATAACATCTTACTATAAGGAAATAATAAACTGCTTTATATCACTACGTGTAATCCTGAAATGCAGACATTTAGGCATAGCGTTTTACGTATTATGTTTTCTTTCTTCCCTGGGTTCAAAGGTCATCACACAGCTTTCCAAATCGGTTGTTTTAGATCTCTTAATACCTGAGAAATGAGCTTATTTTTACCTTAGGACTTCTCTGAGAAATGGGACCACTTAATATTTTTAAAAGAACAGGGATTTACTGAAACTGCCTCTTTTCAATTACCGTATTTCAGTTATCCCTCCCTGTATTTAGGAAAAAACTGCAGAAACTTGCCTTCCATGCGGTTATCATCAGAAGTGGTAATACAAAGTTCTTTGGACATCTCAGTTTTAACAGACCAATCTTTTGATTCCCCTTCTGCTGAAATACAGTAGTCAGAATTCAGGGAGGACACCGGGATGACGAGGTGGCACTGAGTCTCATTGCAATCATTTTCATTCTCTACTTTCATTTTATACGTGGTCTGTATGGGGAAAACAACAACAACATTGAAAATGCATTTTAGCATCCATCCAACCAGCCAAAGGACATGTGTCATCCGTGCCACAGAGCCCCTGGACACACGAAGGTAGGACAGTGGTGCCAGACCTCCTGCAACATCCCCCAGAGCAGAAAGAAATGTGAGCCACGAGTCCTGCGGAGGGACTATTATACGGAACCAGGAATGATCGAACCACAGAGGTGCCAACAGTGGATGGTGCGAGAAGAGAACTCAAAGTGGAGATGAAATGCCAGCTGAATACTGAAGAATGAGCAGAAAGTTGCCCAAGTGGAGAAGGTAGAGAGGGTGTTCTGGGAAATAGCACGGCACCTTCAGGGAACGAAGAACTAAAAGCAGTTCACCTGCACAAATAAAACTTAGGTTGGAAAGAACAGGGAGACAGGAAGCTGGAAAGGACACAAGCGGCCAAAATCACGAAGGCCTGGGAGGCCACGCCGTGAAAGGGGATTTAGATATTATTTTGTAGCTCATAGGGATTTGTGAAGGGATTTTAAGGAGTGAAGAAGGTTAGATGTGCACTTCAGAAGGACGACTCCACTAAGCATCCAGAGTGATGTTTTAAAATCTAAGTCAGATGCTACTCTTCCTGCTAAAATCGTTCCAGAGCCGTAACGCCTTCATGAGAGTAACGTCAAATCTCTCCTGTGCCCCAAGAGATGTGGCCCCCCGTGACCTCTGACCTCATCTGCGCCTGCACTCTGCCCAGTGTGCTTCTGCCAGATTCTTTGTCTGAAACACCCTCCCCATCCAGATCCATGAAGGTCACCTCCTGCCCTCCTCCAGACCTGGTCCAGTAACACCTTCCCTGCTCCGACCACCCTACTGAAGATCACTACTACCCCCTCCCTGCTCTGTTTTGCTCCATCCACGAAGCACCGGAGCAGGGTCTGTACTGTTCACTGCTACCTGCTGGTGCCAGGAACACACAGAGCACGCGCCTGACAAATACTATTAAATAAAGCAATGGCGGCGCTGTGGAGAACGGATGGACTAGAATCATTCCAATCCAAGTGTGGTCTGCACACCAGTGCCAGAATGTAAGTACATCCCCACAGCAGAACCGTTAACTTTCTCTTCCAAAAACAAGGATTCCAATTATAGCTTCCTATTATTTTACATCACTACCCATGAGGAAGAAAAGATTAAAATGATCTTTGTCTTACCAGTGGAGAAATAGGAATAAACAGGTTTAAAATCCTAAAATAGGGCCATGCTGTTAAATGAGGCCAAGACAAAACTTAAATGTATTCACCTGCCCAGCATTAGTGATTAACTCCAATCCCAACTCCCCTCAACAACATTTATTTATAGGCAAAATCTATGATCCATAAGTCCTGCCTGAGTGTTCATAAGCATTGTATTTTCATTACACTACATATAGAGAAAACTTATGCTAGCAACAGAAAAACAGAACAAAGGAAATAGAAACACCGACCTTACTTCCATTTATTCTCAAATCCACGGTGTACATGAACATGTGACAATTTTCATCATAGATGGGTACTGGCTCTCTTCCACTTATATTAGTTAAAGGGTGAAATATGTCAATGATGATTTGGTTTTCCATCTTTCTGATACCCACTGCAGGTGGTCCGATGTTCCCTGGGAGGGGGGAAGGGGGGTAGGGACCCAAAAGAAGCAGAATTAGTACTGCCCCTGGAAATTTATAGCACGTTCCACAAAACTTCCAAAATCAATCCATCAACGTACTCGCTCGGTTGTTCTAAAGCAGAACCGTGTTTAAACCATTCCACAAAGTATCGTCTAGATCTTTGTCCTTAATGTCCTTAATAAAGAAATATTAAATTAATCTTAAGCAGGAAGTATTTTTATCTAATCTAAACTCCTCTTTAACAGCTTCAATGCACTTCTCGTGCTAAAGGTAAACAGTTGGGTCATGAATCCTGTTAAAAAACGTTGACATAACAGAAGCTCTCTTAAGTAATTCTTCCTTTTTCTGTGGGTCTGCAGATTAGAAAGAAAACCTATTCTCTAAAAAATGTTTCAGAAAAGGCATTTTAGTTACTTTTGAACACTCACTGAAACTCTCTGTATCGCCAATACCAATGGATGTCTGGCATGAAGGAAGGCTCTGAGGAAAGTTTGCCAAATACATTGAATTTTTATGGTGCAAATCAAAACTAGACATTCATTCAACAAATATTTATTATGTGTCACCAATGCTTGAGACTTTGTTGGTGAGCCATTTACCTATTCTTCATGTATTTATTGCACACTTACTATGTGCCAGTCAGGTCTATGTTTATTTGCTAATTTATCCTCAGGGCCTGGTATACTTTCTAGCACACAGTATGCCCTTGATAAATCTGTATGGGAAAAATCTGATATACAGCTGGTATAGTTAACAGATGACAGGCATGGACTCTGGGACATAAAATTATTTCAAGGCAAGTAGAGGAAGGGCCTGTAAGTAGGCACAATCTGAAAAGCAGAAGCAGAAGCAAGGCCGTGGTGGATGAAACCAAGCGTGGAGGCTGAACAAGGAAGGAAGTGAAGGTGGAGGGCAAGGCACAAGGCTTGAACACGAGGGAGGAGTCAAGTGACTAATTGCTTCTTTACCCACGAGTGAGGGTGTGAGAGCTACAGGGTAGGATTTCAGTCAGAGAAGGGGAATTGGCAATGAAGATTCTGGAGCTTGAGGTGATAACTAAGATCAGGTATACCGCAGGAATGCGCTGCTGGCAGGAGAAAGGGCTAAAAAAATCACTGGGGTTGAGGAGATTCTAGAAATCTAAAATTAGTTAATGTATTAAGTTGGTATATAAAATTCCCAGAGGCCTTGGGGACGAGGCACAGGGTGGAAGAGGGAGAGCTGTCCTCAGTGAGTGTAACTCAGCAGGGAGTGCTGCGAGGAGAGCGGGGAGAAGGCCACCACAGAGTCCACCTGGGCAGCACTGATCCGTGCTTGCAGGGAGTGGAATTGTAATGGTCTAGAAGTGGCAAAGTGATGGGTACCTCTTAGCCCTATTTTGTGGGGCTTGGGGAAAGAGGAAGAAATGCCTTTGGCATTGTGATAACTCTTAGCAAGTGCTAATAAAAGCAAATACGTACAGAAGACATGGGTAAGTATTTTCAAACTTAACATTTCAAATTTAAAAGTTCTACTCACCTTGTTTACATAAAATAAATTCTTTTGACTCTACATAGGCTGATTCTTTTTGTCCAAGCCTAGCTTTAATTCTGGCCCACAGAGAAAGTGATGGATCATTAATTACAGAAAAGATATTACAATAATGATGAGAGGTATTGCAGGCATCAATCCATATTGCTTCCCTAAAACAAAAAGGAATAAAGAAGCACAACGGTAACTTTTACTGTTAATATATAAACTTGAATCATCTCTGTCTCTGCTTTGCTTTTCATTTACAGCATGGAGCTGGTAGAAAGAGCTGAACAAGAATAGGATGGAGAAGCCAGACAAAGTAGGAAGTCCTAACTCTGGTTAGAAATACTATAAATTCCTTTACAATAAAGAGGCTCAATTCAAAATATAACACCTGAACAAAGTACATTCCACATACGATTTTTAAAAATCTGATCTTTAAATAACTCTAGATTCTATTAACATAAATAATCATTACTTGACTGCAGAATCTAATGCATTACAAAGACTCCTGACATTTGTCAAAAATTTTTTTTGAAATTTTTATCTTTCTATTCAACAATACATTCACTATGGAAAGTAAGAGGACATCATTATTTTTTTTTAAGATTTTATTTAGTTATGAGAGAGAGAGAAAAAGAGAGAGAGTGTGAGAGTAGGAACAGTGGAAGAAGGACAAGCAAACTCCATGCTGAGAGTAGAGCCCAACGTGGGGCTGGATCCCAGGACCCCGAGACCACGACCTGAGCTGAAATCAAGAGTTGGATGCCCAACCAACTGAGCCATCCAGGCGCTCCGACATCATTACTTTTAATACAGAACTGTAAGTTTTATTTGTCATGCCTTTCAAAAATCTCTAATTCCTGGTGTGCCTGGGTGGCTCAGTCGGTTCACTGTCTGACTCTTGATTTGGGGGCAGGTCATGATCTCAGGGTCCTGGGACTGAGTCCCATGTTGAGCTCCCTGCTCAGCGGGGAGTCTGCTGGAGGAATCTCTCTCTCTCTCTCCCCCTCCCTGCCCCCCAATAGCATGCACACACGCTCACTCCCTCTCTCTCAAATAAATAAATCTTTTAAAAGGTCTTGAAAGTTAGACTCCTCTACTTCAATTTTGACGGGAAGAAGAACTAAGAGGCAGGAAGTACTCTGAAGATAAATAATTTGCATCCTTAGCACTTCTGGAAGTCTACAAGCAGTTTAAGAAGTTCTGCCACATGGGAAAGAAAGATGATGGGAAAAAACACAAAGTTATGGAAAGTACAGAGACCTAGACAAAAACAGAATAAAAAAGATGAGAGAGTAACACTTACCCATAGTTCTTTACCTGTACAGTAAAAACAGGGGTCTGTGGCATGGTTGGGTAGTCCCAAAATAGGACAGTATTAAAGTTATAGGCCTCAAATTTAATATTGGTTGGTATCGGCACTGTAAGAGATTCAAAAAGTAAAATGGACAATTTTAAGAAACTCATATTAATATTAGAAAACTTTATAAGGAGCCTAGTTAGCCAAATATGTATTTTGAAGTAGAATTCACCAGGACAAATAACATAATTACTTAAATTGAGATTTATAAAAATTAATTTTATTGGAAAACGTATAGTGTTCTGACCCATTTTAAATTCCTGAAACAACATTGTAGCATGAGGGCGCCTGGGTGGCTCAGTTGGTTAAGC